CAAGGTTTGCACAACTCTCGTGTTTTCTACTGCCAACTCTACTTTTCTCTTGCCTAAACACCTTCAATAAAGACCATACACACAGCGATTTAACGATACTGGATGGTGGGTGTTTTCAAGTGCGGGTGGTGACAGTGGTCACAGTTACCACCTCAGCCTGTCCCTTAGAGGATCTCGTAGTGGTCGTGGTTGTGGTAGTTACTTGAGGCTGACGGTATAGGGTCAGCTCGGGTGGCCCCTGCTCATTTGCCATCAGCTCAGTCGCCCCCAGCTCAGTCGCCCCCAGCTCAGTTGCCCCCAGCTCAGCCGCAGCCACCAGGAATGCTTCTGCATGGTATGTCACACTGGCATATGCAATTATCAGAGACTTCTTGTCAATGTCGTCCTTCTTGTAGGGCAGACCAACATATAGGATGTACAGATCCATCCTTGTGGACTTCCCTGCCCGCGACTTGCCATAGAAGGTTTGTCCAAATGTCTGCCAGGAAGTAGGAGGATAGGCATAGAATCTCTTGAGCACAGTGACCAGATCGTCAACAAATGAGTCCACTTGTATCATTTGGGCTATGGCCAGGTTGACGTATTTGGCGTAATCCGCTATTCCCTGCACGTCTTCAGCACAGTAGGCTGAAATTGAGGAGCCGAAGACTGGAGAATTGGCTTCTCTGTATGGTGGAGTCGATCCGTTTTCCATGTAATTGTACCCATGTTGCTGGTGAAAGTTCCACTGCACAGTCTTCAGGGCTGCTGCAGACAAGCGGTCTATGTCCTTGCTAAGGTCTCCGTCCGAGCGATTATTGACTTCTGCCAATGGGTATGATTGAGCCAGTTGGTCAAGCAGATCCTTCAGAGATACCAATGCATAAGGTACCACGTATTTGATGATAATCTCCTTCACCTCCCTCACAACAATATTACCCATCTCGTTGGGCCTGAGGGCGTTAAAACATCAAATTCAACGGGTATGCACAGCTCTTGACCTGCATGGAAAATGACCACATCGTTGGCACCTTGGCACAATGAGGCATCTTTCAAAAACAGGCAGGCAGTTGAGCTCTTCTGCCAGGGAAAGGACTTCAGGACATCTCATACAATGTGCTCTCAGCATCTCTGCCCTTCAACAAGGGATTCCTTCAGCCCGATTATGAAGACTTGCCAGAGGAGGCTCATGGAACACTCCTGCAGGATGAGCACAGCGTGACTGCCAATGACACAAATCGACAAGCTATGCAACAAAACGCGATTTTTACATTCAAATGCACTCACCTGAAGCAGCCAGCAGTGGATGACCTGACGTCCAAGAGACAGCAAAGGGTGTGTGCGAAAGGAGGACTGTGCAATGAGTCCCTTTGCGCGCCCACAGACGGGCCTGGTTGCACTCTTCACGAGGGCCGTTTCGAAGTCCAGAGCATGATACAATCGACGCGCGTTTAGAGTTGAAGCTTGGCTTGGTCAACTGGCACCTCATCAACTTTTATGAACATGTGGTCGGTGACATCTGCACCTCTCTTCACACGATTGGTTCAAAAGATTCTCGCGATGAGGTCCGTAAGGCCGGGGTAAAGTTTTGACCAATCAGGAGGCGCCACATCAGCCCGGAAAGATTGCAGGGGTAGGGGTCGCTAGCAGGTCCCTAACCGCTGTCGAACACCCACACTGGAGCTGTAGCGGGTTCAACCGGGCACTAACTTCACCGGAGGTAAAACCGCGATTTCGGGCCGAAAGCCTGCAGGTCCACCACAGACCGGCTAGGTGACCATCACAACCATTTCACAAATTCTGTTCTTCCGAACGCCGTCCGATCGCGAGCAGCGCGCGCAAATTTTAGCCTCAATTGTCAACTGCGTGACAAGATGGACACGTCACTGCCAAAGGAAGCTTCCCGGAAGGAACGGGAAAGACACCTCAACGTCCGATCGGTTTGAAGGAAGGACACCTCACCGTTGATAAATGTTCCGGCGGTTGACAGTGCACGAAGACAAAGTCCGATCAGTACCGGGCCCGAGCTGACTTGGCATCCTGACCTTGCAGCCTGCCGCCTCAGTCCGCTGACTCAGCAACCTGACTTTTGACTAGCTTATCAGACTGCCTAGACTCTAGAAGCACACGCCAGTTCAGCGGTTTTAGAAGGTTACAGAAAGCCTGCCCCGGCCACGTAGCAGGCTGCAGTTTGCCTTCGGATGGTCTGGGCTGGCCGGAAATTGTGGTATAAAAGCTCAGAAACTCCCATTTCCGTCCTTCCAAAGTTGATCCTTTTCCATACTTCTCTTCGATACTTCTGCCAAGCACTCCAAAGCCCAATCCAGTATGGCTTAGCAAGATCAAAGCGCCTTCAAGCCCATCGAGATATCGCCCGGCGGGGACGAAGTCGTAATGGGGGTGTAAGAAGTACAAGATTCGGGTCTCATCCTCATCCTCCTCCTTTCATCCTGGCGCCGGATGAACTCACCCAAAGTCAGGATGAAAGGCCTCATCTTCCTCAATGCATTCCTCATTCTGTTCATCTGCAGGGGCGCCTCTACCCC